TTGCAATTCTGCGAAACAGCATAATTAATGACATATAGAACGACTTTTATTTTTTGTAACATTGATAACTCGATCTCCCCAAGATCGTTTGAGCTCACACCTTTACATTAACTTCCACATGAGCACAACTATATGTGAGAAAAATCTAAGCTTGTCTCAACTTGTATTGGTTGACATAGTACTTTTTTCTGATAAGATAACCCTCATAACTGTAATAATAAAACTGTTCTATCTTCTCAAAAACAAGCCAGAAACCCGAACTTTTTTTTGCCATAGACACAACTCACTAAGGGCTACAAGGTATGCGAAATCCCGACTGAAAAGCGATCTGACACTTGGCAATGATCCCTCGCAAGTAATATGGCTTAAATTTCATGAATTACTATTATTTTTATCAATCATGATTTCTCTTCTTTTCATTTCCAATACAGTTTTCACAAGAAATGTGCTATTGTCTGCTTTTAGGTAATTCGATTGACGTTTAAAACGGTCCATTAGTGATATATCCCAACATGCACGAGTCAAAGCAACGACTATGAATGTTTTTTTGATCGTCGCAGAAAGTCGATGTGGAAATTATTTCGTATGTGTATATATGTGTTGAGTTGTTCCTAAAAAATGATATGGACTTCCATACTTTATATATCCAAGAAGGTTTCAATTGTTAACTCAGCTCATTTTCGATGATAATACGTCTAACTAGACCGCCAAAATCGAAAAAATTTTTCGTGATAATTTTATATGACTGGAATGTACAGGGTTCAAGATCGATTCTTGAGAGGGAAATTGAATTGGTTTTGATCAGCATTTCGAAAAGAATTTTGAAAAATGGACGTTCATGATGACGTGAGCACAGCAAAAAATGAATAGGATGGAGAAAGAGATCAAAAAATGCGACTTTCACTTGGACATCTTTTATGGATAGCTCAATTTAGTGTTCATTCATTTGTATTTAATGATAAGAATGGTATACAATTAAATATGGTTCGAGAATTTCTTGAATTTGCCCAAAAATTAGCTGAATCAATGTCAATTATAAAAGAATATCAGAAACTCTTTGCATCATTCAATATAAGTTATATAAAAACATGTTTTTTTGAAACCAATAGTGCAGGTGATCGTGTAAGCTATATTATAATATTGTCTATAGAATAAATTTATTTTATATTTATTAGTTAACTGAATTAACAAGATGTTTATTAAAAAATATGACAGAATATTTTCAAGCATATTCAAAACCAATGGTTAAAGCAACATCATCAATATATGATCCAAATTTAATTCAAAGTTCAAGTGTACTATTAACTTTATATTTATATTTACAAAAAATTATTACATCACTTCGAGATATTCTTGAAACACGGTAGATTTATTTTCTATTTATTAACCTAATTGTCTTTTGTTTCTTTCTTGCTTAAATAGAGATTGGCAAACAAATGCATTTAAATTAAAATTAATTGAATATCGCCAATGGTTTTCTCCAACAATGAAATATTTATTAGAAGGTTTTGTTGCACGGATCAGACAAGCAATGGAAAGAGCAGTAGAAGATGATAATGAGGTCAGACAAAGTTACATTCAGTCTATATGAAAAGAGAAACAAATTATGACTTTATTTAAAGATTTGTAATGATGACGATTATAGCCGGTATTCTGAATCATCTAAGGTAGCTACAAATTTATGTATAAAGGTATATTTTTCATTCATCATCTTATATTTGTATGAATTAAATTAATTTAGCTTTGCCAAGAATGGGAATCAATTGATTATCCTGATATAGATATACGTTATACAGCACTTATTAAATTAACAAAAACAATATGTGAACAATGTCAGCATTATGCAAGATGTACAGCACATAAATTATCAGAAAATAAATATTTTACTGATTTAAATCGTACAGGATCATTTAATGTTTCAAAAAAAGTTCGTCTAAAAAAGAATTTTATTTTATTCTTTTTTTGTTTTTAATTTTTTCTTATTAATTTTAGTTATGTATATTAGTTAATGATATTGAATATGTTAAACGAAAACTTCTTTCGTCCTTACCAGATTTATTAAATTTCTCGGCTATTATTGATAAAATGAATGAAAATTATGATTCAACAGATTTTCAACAAACAAAAGTAACACTTGAACGTTTAATAGTAACAGCTGAACATGAAATGAATGATGTTATTACACTTATATTTGAATGTGTTGCCACATTATTTTGTGAATCTTTAAAAGATAAAATTTCCAAATATTATGAAGATGAAAAACATAAAAAAGTCGATGTAAGAAAATAAATAAATATACTAAATTTATTTTTGCCAAATATAATTTTTAGTCTATGAAAGATATAAATCTATATATCGATCAAGAAATTCTTCATAAATTATATGTAGGTCTTGAATCAGTTCAATATTTTCGTGGTGCTTGTGCTATACGTATAAAAACATTACAATGTTTAAGAGAATTATTACCATTACAAGAACCACCAGATTTTTATGAACGTGTTTTACAATCATTTGATCGTTTGGCTGCATATTTTGAAATCGTATGTCGTGAAGAACATGATATACCTGGTTCACCATGTGAAGAAATAATAATATTTCGACGAAGACTTGAAGAATTTGCATTATCAACTGAACAATTACAATTAAGAGACGGTCATGAGTGAATCGAGCATTTTCGTAAGGGAGCGTCATATGAAAAAAATTGACCTACCTGTTTTATCATCGCAAATGAAAGAGCATGTAAAGAAACCTACAAATCCAAAGTTTTAGCCTTCTCTGAGTGACTTTTGAATAGATATGGAGAAAACATTGAAAGTATCTCCATGAAGTTCTAAAATAATGATGATACTTTTTTTGCTTTTAGTATGTGATTATTTTTTTTCTAAAATACCATCAAACCAAATCGAATCATAGCTCAAAAGATAGAACAGGTTTCGCTCTACAAAACTGTATATTTTGATTTTCCTTAAATAATTTTTAAACATATCTACGCCAGGTCAATATAGAAAAAACGACACAAAAATTTTCAAATTTTTTTGCTGTTTTTTAGTATTTCAATGAAAAAAAAATATTAAAAGAGATTCGGGCTGACAATAATTTTATATGCATTCGATAGAGCAAGAAAAACTGCACAAGATGCAACTAATAAACTATCCAAAAAATTAGCGCATAGCACCTTAATTTGACCCAAAAGGTAAAAGAAAATTACTCTAAAATAGCACTTTTTTACGGTATTTTCGAAATCTTCCAATCAAATGGCAATAGGATTAAGGATTTTTCAGAAGCAGAAGAATAAGTGATATAGAACATCTAGGTCATTTTATCGTGTTAATTAGATGGTCGATTAATGAAGATATTATATGTAAAGAGGGTGTGGATGTGGTTGCGCGTGTAGGTATTAGGAAATCATCATCGACACCCGTTCCACACTCCATTACAGCCTTAGACCGTTTACTAAACTCGTTATACGAATCAGTAATTAATAATGACCGAGCAGAAAGACTTGGCCGCATGGGTTCAATAAAATTGTCGAATCCTGTTCGTTCACTCTTCATACTGTAACGACTGTGAACAGATGATGATGCTGTGGAAGAAACTGTAGAACTATGATAGTCTGGATCATCGAATTCGTCATACGATTCGTCATGATTCCAAGAAATATCATCTGGTCAACTAAGAGCAAACAAACGCTTATAGATCTTAATCCGCCCGAAGAATATGTTGCCAGAAATGTTAGACAAAAAGAGCATCTGTCTCATTGAATCGATTAGTTTCGAGACTTCTCATCGGCATCGGCAGCACATCGGTTTTTCGTAGGAGTGCTGAGATTTTAGTTGTTCACGTAAGCTGAGTGCTATAGGCACGGTTGTATTCTGCACTGAAATGCTAGATGTTGACTGTTCAAAGCCTAGTACGCATAAGAAACAGGCACCATAGTTAGATCGTTGGAGGGTGTGGGTGTGGATGTGAGTGTGGGTGGGGTGTGAGTGTGGGGTAGGGTGTGTCGGGTGTGGGTGTGGGTGATGTTTTTCCTTCCTTCACACTCACACCACACCCACACCCACACATCCCATCACCACACTCACACCCACCCACACCCACACATCCCACCACCACACCCACCCACACCCCACACCCACAAAAAAAAGAATCGAAATTTATCAAAAAATCGATAAAAATCCACTAAAAAAAACACCACTGTTTTTGTTTTTTGTGATGCTTGTAACTTTTTAATGGAAGGTTGTAGAAAATGCGGCGACCCATCATTTTGTTCAGAATTTTGGGCTCTTTGAGATGGCATTGTCGAAAAATTATTTCAACGATGTCTTCCCGGACTTGAAAAATATGGTTTTTGGTTTTCTAAAAATCTTTCGATCATGGTTCATTGATGAAACTCTGCTATAAAGTGCATTAAATAGGAAACTTCATTGGTTATCAGAATCACTATTTAGATTTGAGCTAACTGTTTGGTATTATAGAAAAAATCAAGAATAAAGTGGTTCTATATTTTTGGCCAGTACTGTGGTTAACAAAATGATAATAAGGAAACACTTGACAAGTCTCGTTCCTAGTGAGATATAGAGCTCAAATAATAACAGATCATTAGTATTATACATGCGCCATAACTGGTAAAATAATCTCATTTTTCTGATATCTGATTGAAGCTGCACACACAAATAAGTATTGGGATATCAACTATTTTGTGATTCCTTTGCGTCATGAACTCACTAGATGGCGCGAATGAATTGTAAAGTAATTAAAAAAAAATGAATTACAAAATAATTCAGTTTTTATTAATTTGTATCCATAGGTTCAATAGGGTCTATTAGGGTCTACCGGAGTCTACAAGGATCTGGAATGAGGGTGAGGGCGAAAACATGGACACAGGACGCACCTCATAACTGAGCGTGAGGGCGGATATACGTACACACGCAAAGTGCGCATCTCTCGATTGAGAGTGAGGACGGAAACGCACGCAAATATAGGAATAGATCCTGGTAGACTCTGATAGACTCTTGTAGGCCCTGGTAGACTCTGATAGACTCTTGTAGGCCCTGGTACACTCTGGTATATAACTCTCTTCTATAATATATAGAAATTTTGAATTATTTTGTAATTCATTTGCGTCATGAAGTCAAAAACTCAAAACTACAGTGGTCCTATAATTTTGACCACCACTGTAAGAAAAATTTTTCATCGTTCCAGAGAGCCACCGACTGTTTTACTCAAATTCGTGTAACTCAGTAACTAAAGAATTTCGCGAGCTAAATTGGATTTCTCTCTACTATTTTCAATACAAAATTTATTTCACTGAACTTTAAACTAGAATGTGCAATTGAATTTTTACTTTTCAAATTCAGCAAGACGAGGATTATTTTTCAGTAAAATCCTTTTTTTCACATTTCAAAGAGTCATTTGAATTCTGTGCAATGAAAATTTGCTATTGTTCGCTCTTTTCTTATCATAACAATGTCAATAAAAGTTACGAGCAAGCAAAGGCATGCTCTCAAGATGATATCAACAAATGATAAGAATTTTTCGTCTCAAAAATGATGAAGCAAAACTCATCTATAAATGAAGACAATTAATATCAATAGTGTACATCTTCAACAAACTTTGGGAGAATGCTCCATCTTGCGGCTACCATTGCCGGTATTGAGCGCTGCCAGAGACAGTTTCAGAAGCCCGATATTTTCTCTTCCGAAGTAGTCACCTATTTTCCATAGCCTGATGCAGAGTTTCTGCGCTCAATTTCTTAAGATTCGCGTACACAGTTGCTAATCATGCAGTACAGGGTAGCCCATAAATAGCACTACGATAAGAAGTTCAAATATCTTCACGACGGTTCAATCAAATGAGCTGATTTTTTGGTTAGTGGTAGAACTTTATTCAGAATCTTTTTTTCATACGGATAATGTAAGTGAATACTTCTATTAAGTATTATTGTTGACCTCACTAAAGAAATTTTATCTGTTATCAAGTGAGAAAAATACATGTGAAGCGTTTCATAATAATTTTTAGTTGTCACCTGAGAAGACAACAAGAAGAGATCAAAACAAAACTTTATGAATGATACAACATTGATGCAAATAGACTAAGGTTCAAGAAGTAGCTAGTT